AAAAAAAAAAGCATCAGTCGGAAAAATTGCCGAAGCACCAAAAATCCTCCTGGAAGACAACACAGAGAGCAATCAGTAGGAACAACAATGCTGACAACAGGATGTGCCACGTCTGGCTTGAACATGCAGAATTCTTGCCTGCCACTGTACTTTAACTCAAGAGCATCTATAACGGTGACGCAGAGTGACATGCAGCACGCAGGAGAGTGTTGTCCACGTTCACGACTAATCACCAAGAGAAACCAGCCAGCGCCCGGGGAATGTTATTTCAAAAATCAACAGGTCAGAAAAAGACTAAATTACCATGTACACGGACCAACTATAATGCTGTTATACCCCTAGAGCATCCTGTCTACGACGCCAGAATGTCACGGGTCACCACAACGAAGTGCAAAACTGCACTACCCTGTCCTGACCCGTGACATTAAGCCTGCGGCTGGGCCTTTTACATGCATTCACGAGTCAAAGAGGTTAATTACAAATATTAACGTCATAATTTGGGGGCTCAGCCTAGCTTAAGTTATGTCTGGATTTTTGGCGCAATTGTTTGCCTATTTTGTGGTAAATTTCACTTTTCACTATATAAATTACTACTCGCCATTCTTTGTTCTTGGGAAAGTGCAAGAATGATAATTCAGAGCTTTTCTTGAACCTGCTTTTGCAGTTGATGGCTGGACACGTCGCCGACATTGTGCTTCGCGATCCAGACGTGCACAGAGGCCACCCCGATACGTACATTTTTTTTGTACTTGGCGCGCAAATACTTCGGTCTAATATCACACCGGAATGGCGCCCGTGGCGATTACGCGTTTCAGCGGAGAGTTCCCCATCTTGCGCCGCTGAGCGGCGCTATAGACTAATCCGATTAGACTCCCTAATTGCGGTGGCACCGCACTCACACGCACATTCTTCAGCTTGACGTGCGGGTACATTTGGCAAGTCACGACACCCTATTGGTCGAAAAGGCATGTAACGCGCGCGTACCATTTGTCCACGAGCGTCGTGCCACCGCAGTAATGACTTCTAATTCGGGTGGTCGAATTACACTATACAATCTTTGGGGTTCACCCTTGCAAAAAGGCCAGAAATCTGTCCGCCGAGCTCATTAATAAAAGTTATACATTCAAAATATTCTATATTAGAGGGTCCTGAGAGCCATTGAACTGGGAAATTGAAGAAATATGAGACTGAAATGCCTGCCCGGTATTCAGCCTACTCCAGGCCGGTATAAGGCCTGTCTGCACATTGGCATTTCAAAGTCCCTGATGAAAGGCTTCCCCACCATGCTTCCACAGATGAATAGGGGTCTAAGCGGATTAGTGTAAACATTGTATAGAGCTGAAGGATTAAAAACCACAAGCAGGTTCCTTCTAAGATAGATTACATGTACCAGTACTTGCAAACAATAGACCCCAGGATGGAGAAGTTCGAGATCAACAACCAGTCCAGCATCCCAGGCCGGTAGCCAGGCCGGTATGAAAGAATTTTTTGCAACCGGGCGAGCTTACCGGGGGGGGCCCTTGTCAAACCGTGTCTAAATGGTCGCCGGCCCTTAACACGTCCCCCCCCGCGGCATATATATAATCTCAAGACAGTGCAAACGAATGGAGTACACGCGCGTGTTGCTTCACGCGCTGGTTCACGCGCTCATGCCTTTTACACACTAATCGTGCACGTGACGTATTCACTTCGGTACTCTATTATAATGCTCGATCGAGTCTCCTATTGAGTTCTGCCGTCTTGGCCCAAGACTAGATACGGTGCAGCCGCCGCCGCAACGGGGTATACCAGGCACAAAATGGACAGAGGGGTCCCCCCATAAGTCCAATCCCTATACACACTCCAGCCTATTGTCACTTAAGACACCCCCCCCCCAGATGTCTGAAAAGAATTCCTGAGATACCATTATAACAATGACCAACACAAAGGCGGGGGGGTTCTCTCTGTCCCATAGTTTGCTTCATATGCAAGCACAAGCCCCACTCTGGTTGGCCATCAAAATAAAACATTTACAAGCTAATTCCGTGCATCTGCTCGCCAACTTACACGTGGCTACATTCAACTAATTGTCCGTAAAAGATTTCGTCATTTCCAACGATTCACATAATAGGAACTTTATTAATCAGCAAATAGTAGATTCAACTTCTCAACTTCTTCTTCGTAGAACCCGAGTCATGCTCCAGTCCATGTAAAAGCCCAGGCTTTCAAGAGTCTGGTTCGATCCCACCTTGAGTATTGTAGCTCTGTATGGGTTCCGCATAGGTAAAGATTGAAGCTGTCCAGTGCAGGGCAGTGCGTATGATATATCACTCAAGATTATAGTAGCCAGCCCTGTTGCGGCAGCAATGCTAAAAAAGCTCAAACTTCCCCTCCTACAGCAGAGACGACGGTACAGCAGCTTAGTCATGTTGCACAAAATCATTCATCACAGTGTTGACCTGTGAATGAAAACTGGGAGCTGCAAGACAAATCGACTTGTCATCCCACAGTCTGTGTCACAATCCCACCTTCATCTTGAGTAAATCTTTCCTAAGATGGCAAGAGATTGGAATAAGCTACCCAAACACAGGACTTCTATGGATAAGTTATCTAGCTTCAAAACAGCACTGCAAAACCATCTACAACAGGAATGAACACACACCCCAGTTCCGTTCTGAGTGATGCTCATTTTGAGCTTTTCAGGGTATTTATCCAGATCCAGTACCCTGTAATATAATAAAGAGGAAGTTGAAAACAGCGTTGAAGGGCGCCCCCTATCGCTTCGAAACATGACAAACAAATGCATGAAATGGCGCAGCCCACGAAGACCGGGATTTCAAACTGCAAGCGAGTTCCACGAATTCTTCCTGATATGGCCGCTGATGTCAGTGCAGATGATGAGGAATTGGAGAAAAGACACTACGAGGAAGTTGTTGCTGCCTTCAGAAACTACAGGTGAATTGGTGAAAGCTCCAATTTGACTGGTCCTGATGCGCTAGGCTTGCCCCACTAGTTGACCAGTGTGGCACGGACTCTCACTCCCTCGCTGTCCTGAGCCACTCAGCCGTATGCGCAATTTCGTGTCAGCGTACTGAAAATTTTCGGCGCACCTACTTTTCATCGTGGGCGCAATTTCTTTTGCACATAGAAATGATCCTTAGCCTCTCCGCTTTCTTAGCGCTATCTATTGAATGATTTCACTCACGTTGTTCAGGTATTTTTCAGTGAAATCATTTAATCAATGGCGCTAAGAAAGCGGAGAGGCTAAGGATCATCTCTGTGTGCAAGAGAAATTGCACCCACGATGATAAGTGGGTGCACCGAAAATTTCAGTATGCCAACACGAAATTGCGTATACGGATGAGTAGCTAAGGATAGAGTGAGAGTCAGTGCCACACAAGTGGAGCTATCCCAACTATAGCTGGGACAGTCCCAACTGTAGTGCTGCAGTTGGGCTGGCCCAACTATTGTTGACCAATTTCGGTAGAAAATTTCTCAACCTTATCAAAGTTTATGCATCTCACAATTGACACCATATATTTAAAATATGGCACTTCATCTATAAATGACATGACATTGTAAACAGTTTGACTTTTTGGCACACACTGAGCACATGCACATTGGACCTTAGCCCCAAACTGGGGGCCAGTCTACTGGACTCCCTCCATATCCTAGGCCCCATAGCTGTCCCAGACCAAACAGATTCCGACTGTGTTTGGCATCGGTAATAGCGATCAAGAGTTAGTCACTGGAGAAAACGAATGGCCCAAATCGAAACCAAAATTTCACGGACTTCTACAAATTGGAAGTCGCCCAAAGTAATACATCAGCGGATTGATGGGGGTGTGTGATTTGGCATTTCATAAACTTTGTCAACTGAAGGTATATATCATAAACCTATTTTCACATTCCAGACATGTTTGGGGTTGCCTTTAACCACTACCTGCCAGGCGACCCATTTTCAGGTACATAGGCTTTATATACAGAGCCCAGCAGCCCAGAACTGGGACAGAAGAGTTGGGCCTTGTAACAAAAGACCGTGCTCAGCACAAAATACTGAGCTGCTAGGCATTATGGACAATTTTTCGCTCTCAGTATTGGAGATAATCCAGCCTTGTTTTGAAACAGTATACCATGATTTGAGGCATTTAGAGCAAGCGGATTACCACCGGGGACAAAAGCTCTCCACCACTGCAGCAATGAGCCACATAGCACTGCTGCACGCTAATCTGGCTCCTATTAAAAAGTGGTCAGCAGTTTCGGGAACAAAGAATCTTATGTAACACTGCGCAATTTGGCTGCAGGCCTGGCTGAAATATTCAGGAGTCAATGAATTTTACCTGTTAGCTTTAGAATAGTGCCCAAAGAGTCCTTCATTTTGGTATAAACGGCCATTAAATGAAATGATGTATGTTTGAAGAATTTTGAAAATGGAAAATCTTGAAAATGACCCGGCATCTTGTCTTGCTCAAGAAAAATCCACCCGGCAGCAAGTGGTTAAATTGGTTGACAGCCACCACAACAGTCATGTCTTCAACACTAATGCAAATTATGCTTTTAAAAATAATGCATATTTTCTGATATTTTGGGAAAATTTTTTTTTTTTTGTCTCTTTTTTCTTAAAACACCACCTGTCATTTCAGCTAATTCAGAAAATCGTGCACCCTGCTCAGTATATTCTCCTTTGTCCAAGAGCTACATAGATGTATATGGGAAAACAGCTATCAAAGAATTGTTTTCCTAGGTTACTGCATTCAAGAGTTATGGTGGCCTCTCTTGCTGCTTTGAAAACAGATCATTTTGTTCAGGAAAGGACAAAATTTCAATATCATGCTACCTTCCATCAAGTTTGATCTTATAAAGCAACATTTTGAGAAATTTTATCATAAAGCTTATTAGATGGACAGACAGGACCAGTATAATCACTTGAACATGTTTTGCAATGAAAGTGCAAAATAAAACTGGTAAACATGTGTGATATGGTCCATATACATGTAAGTACCTGTATGGTATCAACAAACTACACATACAGAAATACCAAAAGCACAATAGGAAAAAGTTTGTCTTCGAGAATAATGGTTTTTAAGAAGTTGGGAGTTATATATTTGTTTATTTGAGATAATGTTATATCTTGTTATGCTCTAGTTAGCTGTTGTGTACGTGTGTTCAGGAATGGACACAATATTTAACAAGGTGTAGAATGATACTGTCGTTCTCCTATAGACGTAATAATGAAGTAGTCTGAAGTAATGGCCGTGGTGGCCATCAGTAGGATGATTTACTAATTGTGTGATGGTAAAACCACAACTTTAAAAGTGACGCAATTACTGATGTTGGCCTATGGTAGCCCCTACAAAGAAATGCTTATGCATGAATACTTAAACTGTTCAGGAATAAATTACATGTATAAATTGCGCGTTATCTTTTTAAAGAATATCAACCTCAGCAAGTTCACTTCTGCCATAAACTTTCATAGCTTTTTCCCTTTTCTTTCTCTTCTTTGCTCTGTATTCCTCATACATCACTCGGTTTTTTCCTTCCGTTTCACGGTCCAAGTCTGATTTCTTCTATAGTCTGTAGATCTTGTAAGTCTATGCCAAGCTACCAGTCAATGACCCTCCCCCCCCATTTTTTTTTCCGACTTTCTGCAAATCATGGGATGTCATGTTCAGGAAAGGACACATTTATATCTTATTTACATGTACTTGTAATCACTGCAGTACAATATTTTTATATTTAGTTTACTAGAATGTTTAGTGTTGTGTTGACAGATAATGAGTTACATTTCATTTCTTTTCATTCTGGAAGAAATACTATGTTCAGGAGAGGACAGTTTGAAAAAACATTTAACTAACAAACCAATGTCTCACTCAAAACAGTGTAAAAAACAGTCAGCCCATTCCAATGAAATTTGGTATACATTTTCTTGGAACACATCTCCATGTCCACGTGAGACCAGGCAGTTGTACTACCATTTGATTTTGTTTCACATCAATTACAGTTTCTAGAAAATTTGAATGAGACTCCAAATATTGTGTTTTAGCACCTGTTTTACTTCACATCTTGAGAACCATAATGTGTAAGGCCTTGAATTTTTTTTGGAGATTGCAACAATGTAAAAGCATTAAGTTCCAGCAAACTTTTCTTCGAAAAAAAAGCATCAATATCCAATTTTTCATTTTGCAACCTTTCCCGTGAAACTGCCCATATGACCATGATGACTTATACCCCCAGAACTGAGGGTTCCGAAATCCACACTGTGCCCACGAACCCCACAGAAAACAAGGTTTTTTTGCCATAGGCCCTACATGACGTTTAACAGGGCATGAACAGGGATCTTATTCTCGTTGTGTTCCCATAGAAATGCCATTCCATTCCTCATAAAGACTTGAGTTCTATGTCATATACTGTGCCCTGTTGATAGTGATTTCTTTCAAAAAAGTTTATCGGGATGTTCGGGGCATAATCAGCCATCTGCTGGATTTTATGAGCTAAAATTGCACTAGTCTGTTCACAACTTACGGTTACAAGGTAAATCATCCCCTAGGATGCTAATTGCAGAGAATTCACCTTTTCCTAGTTTTGAGGAAACAATTTGGCCTTCAGATGGCGTTTTCCCCACTCCAGACAAATGTTGGCCAGACTTGCACATTATTGATGGTTTTGTGTCATGTCACAGAGAGCAAGCTGTGCTACAAGTTTCATGATAGGCCACAAGCAGTATTTGACTGGACAGGGAATTGCCAAGGGCAGTTATGTGTGTTAGCTGCGACACAAAACAGCCATATTTTCCACGACTACTTGGATCAACAGGTACTCTCACTGATCTGAACGAATTGCCCTGAAGTCTGAGTGAAAACTAGACAGGCTCTCCGATACAGGCTACCATCAATAAACCATACAAAGGAGTCTGTGTAATGTGCAAGTCTGGCCAAAATTTGTCATTTTCATCCTAGTGGGGAAAATGACAGTTGAAGGCAACATTCATTTTTAAGACCTGTTCATTTTTCATCCCATTTAAAAAGACTCTTACAATCCCATCTTAACACCAAGGGGACCGTTCACTTCTGGGTGACACGTTTTCACTGCCTCTCATTAATATGATAATTTTGCTGCTCTGTTTGTACGTGCGTTGTGTCGTAGTGGAAAGAAGCTAAAAATGTGCTAGGTCATGTTCCCAATGTACATGTACAAGAGTGCATGTACATGTATCCGCTGAATCCAGCCCCTGAAGCAAATTACTGGTGATGAAAATTCCACTTCTCTCAATCACATTTCCCATTAGAGCAATCTTTAGGTATTTATAGCTCTTGAAAACTCCATAACCATGATAACAGGTTTTTAGACCATGAGACTGACCATTTTTTTAAATTCAGAGTTTGTACTCACCAACACTGACCAATCTCTTGTTCTCTACCGGAGGACCATGCTCCATACTGTACACTTTGAGTGCATCATAGTATGCACACAGCCAGCCATTGGCCAAGCTAGCTCTGCATGTCAGTTCGACCATTTTCGGAGGCGGGGTGGCATCTTGTTTTACCTGTCACAGCTACAGAGCACAGTGCATGTTGTGCGTCCTGATGGTATCAGTCCAGTTACACAGCTAGGATGGTCATGCATTGTGATGAATCCCATAGTTCTAGGCTAACTCGTTTTCATGTGACCGGTCTTCGAAATATGATGCTTTTTGGGAAGCTTTGGAGTGCATTTTCATGTTGTTTACACTGATTATGTTATGCACCGTGATGCTCATTAAGTTAGTGTGACCTAGAAAATGTGAATTTATGTTGGTAAGATGGTGCATGTAGGTTTAGGCAACAACAATGTTGAAATACATACTTGTACAAGGGAAAGGTCTATGTGTGCCTAAAAACATGCATCTTCATTCACCAGGCATGCCATGTGGATAGGCCTGCCAATCAGTCATGCTTCAAAATTTATTTTGTTATATCAAGGTAGAGTTTTGGTTTCTTTGTTATTCTAGACCATATTCTTATAGTTAAATCGAGCATCAAAATAATTTTGAAGCTTATAGTTTTTGTTGAAAAATATTCTTTTGGTTATACAGAGTATTCATGCACATGAGACTAAACCAGAAATTGAAGGACTTTGATGTCTTGCCACACCACCACCAGGCTTTGTTGCCGCGCTTTCGGGATCATTTGGGTGATATTCGGCATTGTGTAGACCACAACTACGAGATCATCAAGCTCATCATTGAAAACACTGACTTCATGTTTGTAAACAGAGATGAGTATAGTGTGAGCAGACCCCACAGTTTCCTTATTGCTTATGAAAAATGGCCTTTTTTTGTCAAATTCAGTTGCATGTTATTCAGCTGCAGCACACTGATCCTTAAAAACAATTCTGTGTTTTTGACCTTCCCCGAATCCCTAATCCTCAAAATTTCTTCCATAAATGTGTAGGATTGAGGCTGTATGGAGAAAATTGTGACTGTTTGTGAAGGATGCATTAATTTAAGTCAAGGTCTTGGACCACACCTTGTGTTGTCTTTGCTTATCCATGCATAAATTCAAGTCCAAATTACCCCCCCCCCAGTGGAAATCGTCTGCACTTTTTGTTTATGCTGCCTCAACAAATTGACAGGAGTTGCTGGAGGATTTTAAAGATTGAAGAAGTGGTCAACCTCCAAGAAACACATTCAAGAATGAATTGAGAATTGTTTGAGGATTGAGGCTGTGTCTGTCTGATATTTAGATGGAGGACTTTTGAGGATTTTTTTGGAGTGAGGCAACCACATTAAGCAAAAGGTCTGGGGAGTTCAGATTAATGTCATATTTTCACAATTAGTCTGATATCATCCCTTTCTTGTTGAAAATCCCATCAAAGCAAATATTGCGCAAATTTCAGCAGCAGGGCTCGTGAAATTTAAAAAAATGTAGTTGCCCTTCAGGCAGGGGAGTCTAAAATCTGGTTGCCTGAACGTCATTTTCAGTTGCCCAACAAGGAATTTTTAGCCACACATGGTCTCCAAGCTTTCAGTAATTACAGTCATTTTCCTAGTTCCCGATCGTTTGAAATGAATAGGCCTAGGCCTACCCACCTTTTTGCTATTGCTCTGCAGCATTACACACTAAGATGACTCCTTTTTGAAAGGTAACATAAAAGTCCTGCAGTACAAATTTCACTCCCAGAAAATTTCAAGAAAAGGAATTGTGGCTGAATTTCCAATTCGCACTTCGACATTTGTTGACGGTATGTCAAAAAACACGGGAGTACAAAAAAATCAACACCAGAAAAAATTACAGGTCGGTGGGTCACTCACTACGCAAGATTCCATGAACGTTTTTCCTAGTTTCGGATCGTGCATGCAAGTAGGCCTACATGTACGAACGTCATTAACTCAACTACACATGCGTAACAGATTTGGACGAGACGTAATGGGTTTGTCAACTTTGCGGCGTGGGGGGATTTGTGGTCGACGGCTCACTGAGCAGCAAAGTCAAGTCAAAGTTTATGCAGGCTATCCATGTTGATGCTCTGAAATTAACTAATCTCCTTTAAAATAAGACTTGCTTTCATTGAAAATATGCTTGTTACAATCATGACAATGGTCTTGGCAGAGAAATGGGTTTACGCTTGACTACTTTTTATGTGTAGCAATCCAGAACTGGCTAAACCGATCCAGAACTAGGAAGTGTCGTCATCACTTTTGTCGATCTTGTAAGACAAACTAAAAGCTCAAAATTTTAAAATATACATGTACAAGGTAGACCCCTGACCCCATTTCATTGGAATTTGATGATAATTGAGCTGTAATATGACTGAATATAGTTTTAGGGATCCGGAACAAGGAAAACGACTGAATACAGATGTCGCTGCATTGTTCATGCCAGCGATTCGACTGTACGTACCACAATGCACCTACCCGAACATGTACAATCGTGCAACATCAAGGTTAGGAAGTCAATCTTTTTTGTGGTCTTTTTTGCGATCTTTTTTCGGTACATGGTGCTGAAATATCCAAAACGCCGGGAAAAAAGGTGTTGCCGAAAACAGGTGCTTGCCTGTCGGGCTGGCAGCCTGGAACATTTGGTTGCCTGACAAAATATTTTGGTTGTCCCGGGATGTCGGACTACCGATTCTGTGAGCCCTGAGCAGGTAAAAGATGGGCTGTAAATTTTTTCGTAAGAAGAGGGCTTTGCAAATCAGACTTTAAGAAGAAAAATAGGAGTTAATGCGATATGCAAATTATCGCATTGTTGTTAGGAATCAAACAAAAATCCAAACTGCAGATCTCAGAAAAAGTTATATTATTGGTAAGCCATATTTGATTACATGTGGAAGAAGCCTGGAATTTGTGTATTCTTTTCAGTTTTCGAAAAGCTTCAATTTCTTTGTAAATGTCGTTTCACTTCATTTGTGTGTGTTTTGAACAGGACAAAACCAAGCAGGACAGCAGGTCAAAAGTCAACAATGGTATTGCCAAGCTTGATATGGAGAAAGTACTGACCACAATCAAGCAGTTTGTGCGAGACTGGAGCAAAGATGGAATCAGTGAGAGACAAGCCTGTTACCAGCCAATTATTGAAGAAATCCAGAGACGTCTTCCCCTCAAGGACTGGTCAGTGGTTTTGAGCCGTCAAGCAATGCTTACACCACTTTTACCATGCCAGAGCCATTTTGTCAGGTCATGTTTCTCCACACTTCAATGGGACCTGTTCTGTATACTTTTAGCTTATGTGTGAATGCAGTACTGTTGGCAGTTTGTCCAATCTGTAGAATTATCTACTCCCTCCCCCCTTTTAGCCAATTTGGACACACCTAGATTTCTTGCAAATAAATCGGGTTTAACCACTTGCTGATGATATTTGTCAACAAAGAACTTGTCTCTAGTACAGTTTTACCTTCAGCTGAAAGGACTGACTGGAAAAAAATCAAGCTACCACAACCACAGTCTTTACAAATTTGGACTTGATGAAAGAATGCTAACTGTTCGTGGTCATTTCTTCAATATTTATGTGACATGGCTTTTTTTGAAACTCTAAGATTATGCTCTTGAGGGTAATGCTGCAGTTCCCAGCCATAGCCCATAGTTGCTTGAAGGCTTAACACCACAGAGCTGCATGTATATGTATACAAGAGTGCTATCTTATCATTCCTCACTCGGAAAAACTTTGATGCGTCCTGGGCGCAGATGTCGTGAATTTGTGTGTGTTTGTCAAACACAATGAAATTAGATGGAACGAATTCTAGACGATAGACTCTAAATGCAATATGCAAGAAAAACATACATGTATACATGTGCGCAAGTAACTCAGTGCATTTTGTACATACATAGAGATATCAGAAAAATAAAAAAAAAATCCACCATGGAAAAGTATATACATGTAGCTCTATACTAAACGCACACTCAACCTCCTGGGACTAGTTTGAACCTTTTTTGTATACATGTACAAACTCAGTTGGAATCTATCAAGCTTGGGGACAAGTACAAATGTCATTCATTACTGCGCATAGAATTTGCAAGATCGTATTTAGGCTTGTTACAACACAGGGAATCCATGCATGGTTACATGTCATCCAGTGTGAAGTGGTTAAGAGCATTTCAAAGTTAAAATCAGGAGTAATCAGAATTTCTGTTGCTTTCTTAAACTAGTACAGCCCATTTTGGTATTCATATTTTCAATTTTTACACGTAGGTTTTAATTTGTACCTTAAATTTGCCTTACCATAATTTTTTTGTGTAAGCAGCAAAGAGAGCATATCAGTTTTAGTACCTGGCGCTGGACTTGGGAGATTAGCCTTTGAGATTGCCAACCTCGGATACAGTTGTCAAGGCAATGAATTCAGCCTGTATATGCTGTTTGCATCACATTTTATACTCAATCGGTAAGCTCAAGTGCATCAGATTTAGATTTCAGGAAGATAGCTTTGTTGCATCAACTCCACTGAATACAGATCTACAATGGAATGTCGCCATAACGAGCACTGCTATACTGAACATTCGAAATACATGTACCGAACATCCCCCTCGGCTCCCAAATTTTCTGTGCACTTTTACTGAACATTACAAATTTGTTTTAAATAAAAGAAACATACTTAGAACTGATGATAAGTAACTCAGAGTTGGGGAAAATCGCACGCACAATGGAACAATGGCCAACATATGGCACGATCTGTATAATGAATGGGTATTGTACATCACATGGAATGTGGATGTGTCCATAGGCGGCCATGTAGACTAGCTGCTGAGAACTGTATGCATGGATGCTCTGCAGTATTGGCCACTCTGGTGCGGAAAATCTTGCATGATATTTGCTATAAAGCAGGCAGATTTGAGCCTTAAAAATCACCAGAACAGGAAATAGATGCGCAGACAGACACTAGCATTGTTTACTTGACTCGTACGTTGAGTGCCACTGATTCCTTTCAGAACCCCACATACTCAAAAAAGAGATGTATCCATGGTGCTACCGCAAACCTATCTAGTTTACTTGCTACACATGTACCTCCACCTTGAAAAGCTTCAAATCTCATCTGACTCAAAGAAATCTTTGATAGATATCTTGCGAGTTTCGATTGTTGTCAAAAATGCTTGCCTGACATTTCATTGCCGTCTGTAGACATGTACCGTACATGCATGTAATTGTGCCTCCAGTGCTACCGTATTTAAATGGTACCTGGGGCGTCCCATTTGTTAAAGTGCCATATTACCAACAGGAACCCGTGTAACTGTACGTACGTGTACATGAAGATGTCACATGCACTTTTTAAGCGATAATGCAAGGAAAACTTGATTACATTTTGCAATTCCACTTCCATTGAGGACTACCCCAAAGGTGAAATATGAAAGGAGATTAGCATAATGGAAAATGCAGGAGTTCAGAACGGGTGCGTATGTTTGTGATTGAATATTGCTGTACCGAATGACAGCTATACCGAACATTTTGTATGAACCCCCGCTAGTTCATTATAGCGACATTCCACTGTATTCCATACCTGCCAGTTTGTGCTTGTTTCAGATTGTTGTTTGATGTATAACGTATGTTGGCATAACAAAAGAAAGATTACTCGAGAACCAAAGACAATCACAGCACCATGGATGAGTATCTTTGACTTTGAAGGGTTTTAAGGATGGAAATACTAGTTTCTTAGAAGAGTGAGGAAAATTTACAAGACCACTTCAAAAGAAATAGACTGCTCAATCTGTATGGTCCCCTTGAAGCTACAATTGGCCTTGGCTTTGATAAGAGGAAACTAGACATTTTCTCTGGTTGTTGAGCACTTTTATCTCTAGCTTCCCTGTTTGTCAGGACCTTTTCTGAATCCTCCCAAATCGTTCATTGTGCAGGAAACGGAGGAACATTTTATATAATTTGGCTTTCAGTGTACATCAAGCTGATGTGAAGTTGAAATGGCTAAGCCGTCCCTTCCTCAACCCCCCCCAAACTTCCGAAGTGATTTAAAAGAAGCTTGCAGCTGATTTCATAAAACTTTATGCAATGACATAACATCATTTTATTGTGTATTTTGTGTAACAAATTAAGAGTGTTGTATGAAACTTATGTACTACGTAAGCCTGCGACTTATGTAACAAAATCATGGCGTAACTTACACAGTCATTTTAGGTGATGTAACTTGCGCTGGACAAAGTGAACATGTTTGGTTCAGCCTCATCATTGTTGAACTTTACATGGCTTATATGAGACACATATAAGTTTGTTGTGGAGGGTATTGAAGAACTTGTTTGGCTGTGAGAGAACTGCAAGATTTCTATCTGATTAGGACAAAGAAAAGACAAAAATGGTGGGTGGAGTGATTCAACAACTGTTTGATGACTGTTGTGATATTGGAATGTAACATCCATTGTAAAAGCCATTTTCTTCCTCGTCCAAGAAATTTAATACAATTAAAATGTGGCACAGCTACGCCTCTTCTGGAAATCCAGTGTAAATACATGTATGTTGTGCAGCTACAGCATAAATTTGTGGCACAAGACTTAAGAGTGGTTCAGAGTTACGGCGCGTTTCATGAAATTGGCTGCTGGAGGTTTAGCATTAATTTAGCATTCGTAGCTCTCCACTGTCACCAGAAGTAGGTTCAGACTTCAACTTAACAGTAATAATATTCATCCCATTAGGATCACACTAAACAATCAGCTTATCTGGTTTTTACCAAAGGGCAATCTCATCTGCATTTGAGTAAACTGAATGATAATCTTTGTCTGTTTCAGCTCACCAAATGTAGACTGCTTCACTCTCTATCCGTGGATTCACCAATTCAGCAATATTAAATCCACTCTCCACCAAACCAGGCAAGTTAGCATACCAGATGTCAACCCCTCGAGTCTGCAGGAGGATGCAGACTTCTCAATGGTAGCCGGTGACTTTCTAGAAGTTTACACCACTCCGGGTAAATAGTTTTCTATTCAATTTGTTCACCACCACTCCATTGACCTTAACCACTTCCTGCCAGGGCAGTTATCAATATTGATGATGCTGGGCCAGGATTTTTATCATTTTTTTTCCTGTTTTCAAAATTATTTAGAAATTCTTAACTTTATTTACTGGACACTTACAAACACGTGAAGGACTGTCTGGTGTCCACTTTAGCCTGACAGACAAAATCTATTGATGCCCGAGTATTTCAGTGAGGCCTGCAGCCTTATAAAAAGAGCCCAGATTGTGTGGTGTTATATAACTTTCTTTTGTTCACGAACCTGGCTCAGTGTGCTGCTGACCTCTTTTCAATAGGGGCCAGATTAGCATGCAGCAGTGTTGTGTGGCTCATCACTGCGGTGTCGGAGTGCTTTTGTCCCCAGTGGTGATCTGCTTGCTGTAAATGCCCCAAACCGCGGTATGCTGTTTCAAAACATGGATTATCTCCACTTTTGAGAGTGAAAAAATGTGGTAATTCCCAGCAGCCGGGTCTTTTGTTTCGAGTACGGCCTTTTGTTACATGGCCCTGTTCCCTTTGTCCGAGTTCGGAGACTGCAGCCACGCATATAAAGCATACATGTCCAGATCCGGAATCTCCGGCAGAAAGTAGTTAAGATTGAGGAGCCGGCCTTTAATCTACATCGTAGGGTGATAGAGAAGTGTTGTAATTCATTCTTTTTCAAGTCCAGACTATAAAGCATTACCAAGCCTGAAAACTTGACATAGTACAACGTACATGAGTTTGAAAATGAGTTTGTACAAAAATATACACTAGAAATGTCCAATTATTGGCAAAAGAAATTTTTTCTTTTACAAGTGTGAGTCCTCACACAAATATTTGTATATTTATTATAAAATCAAAGCTTTCCCATTGTTTACAAACACCTTGACAGTCCCAGGGAGGAGACAAGGTTTTCCCCTCAGATTTTGTGGTATAAGCAATATGTTGGTTGAAACAGCTATGAGTATGAACACTAATAGTGTTCACTGTGCTGTCAAATTCACCTCAATTTTACCTGGTGTTTCCATAGTTCAGGCCAAATTTGGAAAATTGATTTATGCAGCTGACAAAAAAGTGAAACATGGTCTTCCACAACAGTACTGTCTTTTTTAAGATACCATGAAACTGTTTTATTTTAATCAGTTTCAGTGGTATTTGATTTTGGTATTTTACAGCTCAGTGGGACTGCGTAGCAACATGTTTCTTCATAGACACAGCACACAATATCCTTGACTACATTGAGACAATCTACAAAATCCTCAAACCTGGTGGCCTCTGGATAAATCTAGGTTTGTGCTTAATTGAAGACATGTATGCATGTCGACTGCAAATGTCAAATTGAAAAGTTTTCTGTCAATGCCATGCTTACCCTTCCCCTTCTAAACCCTTCAATTTCCACCCAGTGGTTTTGTTGGATTTTGAAGGATTGAGAAAGGTAAAGCCCGGCCATTGTTACTGCACATGTGGATTGAAGCTTTGGGAAGGTCGCTGTGCAAAGACTGTTGTTGTTTTCGTCAAAGAAATGAGCCGTGGATGATTCAAGATGGTTCCCAACAGAAAGCCTTAAATATTTCCATCTACCAAGTCCTATCAGAAGCTCATCACTGGCTTTTGGTTTCAGTTTAGGTGTTTTCTCCAATTGCTGCAGTTGGAAAAATACTGGTCCACAAGTAGATGAAGCTGCACATAATCAATTTGTACATGGTGTAACTAGCATGGCATGCCGGGGTCCTTTTTTTTCAAATGATTTAATTGCCAGTCCAATGTTATTTGCATTTTGCGTGAAGGTTGAAAAAAACAATTGATTGCCTGCTTTTTAACTGACCCAGTGTACAAATGCACCTTATATTGATTGTCAGTTTGGCTCACAGAAAAATATTGTTGTACTTCATCGTGCAGGTCCGTTGTTGTACCACTTTGAGAACATGGCCAAAGAGTCGTCTGTAGAGATAGCATATGATGTCCTACGCAAAGTTATCATAGATTTCTCATTCGTTATGCTTGTAAGTATTTTAGCTTTGTAAAAGTTTAACTGTTTGACCAGTTTGGATGTTTTTGATTTGAAGTGTGCATGAACACTCTGGTTTGGTGACCATGGGGATTATGGTAACATTAACATTAGGGTTGTGGCATAACGACAACGATCTTTTGCTGTGCGGTATTTAGCAGTGTCATATGTTAAGGGCAATGGTTGCACAAACAGTTGTCAGACCAGTGACTGCGAAGACTCGGCTACAGTTATGCTGTGAGGCACAGATGGACTGGACTAAAAGACAGCTCAATTCTGTGATATTATGTGCTCGTGAAGTTTGTGTTCTAATTTGGTTCAACCAATTTGGCCCTTTCAGTCAGTTTTAGTGTGGAGTATTCTAAGACATGGAATCTACAATATTGGTATTTGCTCCTTGAGCAAGTACCCCCTCGCTGGTGACACCTGGAACAACAGTGTAATGCCAGCGGTACTGTGCACCTGGTACCCATGCAAATACACTACTGATACATGTATGTGAAATTGGTTGTGCATACTGCATAGTTTCATGTCACCTCAAGGAAGATTGTGCTTTCCTTTGTATTTATGCGTAGAACCAGTTCTGTAAGTGGAACCACTGGTTACATTAGATTCAATTTTAAAAATGCTCACACCATACAGTAAACTCCGGCCAAGTCGGCACTCTCGGGACTCAAGAAATTATGACGACTTTAACAAATGCCGACTTACACTTACACATCGTCGTGTGCCCAGCAGAAGGGTGTAAGCGCTTAGCCTGGAAGCAAGATCACTGCAAAAAACTTTTCCCGGCAAAAGGATGGAAGTATGCAACTATCTTATTTTAATGAAATATGAAGATTTCTTGGCAAACAATTTAAAAAAAAGAGCCCAAGTCCTTTAATAAGTTGTTCAAAGGTTGCTTTTTATACAGCCCAGGTTGATTTTGTAGTAAATTATATCCGTTTTTACTAAATAATAGAGTGTGTTTCTTACACCCTTTTGCTGGGAACATTTTTTCTGCTGTGATCATGCTTCCTGGCGCCCGACAACATGTATTGCGTTTGTACATGTACATTATGATTCCTTGCACTAATTCATTGACTTTGATTTACCCTGGTTTATTTTTACCTCCATGGTCGATCCCAGCAAATTCATTCTTATTATCCTCACGGGCTGCAAATTCGATAATTGATCATGTTCCCCCAAGGACGAAGCAAGGACAGCAAGCCACTTGCATATCAAATCACGACTCAATAGTGCAGTACGTACATGTACATGATACAGTTATGGTACAGAAAACATACACTCATCCCCACACACAGTTCGTTCAATAAGGCGACCCCCAAAATGGACAGAGCGCATGCATGTAGCACTAGAGGGGTTACTGGTATTGATGTACTGTACTCATAGTGGCCGCTTATCAACCATGGCATGTGCTGCTAATAAACAGACATCAGTCAAGCAGTGTGGGACTTGTCACTTGACACTTCTTTGCAACTGGGGCAAAGGAAACTGATACCGAAGCATGATTTTTTTTTTTAATGCCAACTTACACAAAGGAATTTTTGTGGTTTTCTGGAACATGCCAACTTATACGAAATGACGACTTATAAATGCCAACTTAGAAATGAAACTTTCAGTGGAAATGCATTACAGATGATCATGACTTTTGTCAAAAGGCCAACTTAGATAATATGACGAGTTACGCGATACCGACCTAGTTGGAGTTTACTTTTCATTGTCTGTTTTGGGACTTTCAAGAAATTACTGTTACATTGGAAGACTGACACTTTTGAGCTGCTTGTTTTCTCTGTTTCACACTTGACAGCGGGAAGAGCCAATACACACCAGCTACCTGCAAGACCACGAGTCCATGCTCAAATATGAATATGACTGTGTCTTCTTTGTCTGTCAGAAGCCCTTCCAGTCAAATGTACCTACCCAAGAAGCTGTTAAAGTCAATGAGAAGCAATAACTTTTGGTCAATACCATTATCTTTAGACGGGTAGGATTGCATTAAGGAATTAACAGCTTTGGAGAATGTTTAGGGCACACTTGCAAATCTTTTGCCGATTTTTGCTGAATTATTTTTGCCAAACTTAATGTCATATACTTAATACTGGGTAAATGTTTTTTCAAGTTGTATGGCAGATTGAAAAATCTATATTTAGACTGAATTAAGGATATGTTTGTAGACACTGGGGAGAAAATTGGAAGTAGGGATTCTAGACATGGTATGCTTGAAACAATTATTCATTAATAGATGGGACAGGTTTTCTATTCCTATTGGTTGAAATGCATCATTTGACCATGTATTAACATTTGATGATGCCCGCTGAGAAGTGACAATGCCCACTGCGTAAATCACGCACCAGTGCCAAGACAGTTTGATTCTGATTGGTCAAGAGTCTGCATGTGGTTCGCCACACGCACGCTAAGTCCATGTAAGGAGAGTCTTTTGGACAACTATAAAATAAAACGGATGGGGGTTTTCGGGAAAATAAAAGTAAAATTCTACAACAAGTGTTGGAAATCTGTCATTTATTGTGCTTGGCCAGTCTTAAACCAACGTTTAAGACGGGTTCAAAGACTGAATGCTGATAATGCATTAGTCACGTCCATTCTCCTGAGAGAAGACAGGCCAAGCACATATTGATTCCCTCAACCACTTGCTGCCGGGTGCTTTTAAAAATACAGTGCACACATATGGGAGATTTTCAGTTTTCAAAATTCTTTTAAAAATTCATTATTTCTTTTTATTAACATTTACACCCACACGAATGACTGTTTGGTGGCTACTCTAAGCTCACAGGTAACCTTCATTGACTCCTGAGTATTTCAGCTAGGCCTGCTGCCCTGTAAAGAGAGCCCAGAATTGTGAGGTGTTGTGTAATTTCCTTTGTCCCCAGTGAATGCGAGTGGCATCTTTTCAAACACAGCTAGATTAGCATGCAGCGGTGCTGTGTCGTTCATCAATGGGGCCCTGGAGCACTTTTGTCTGCGGTGCTAATCCACGGGCATGCTATGCCCAAAACAGTGGTATACCGTTTAAAAACAGTGATGGATTCCCTTCGAAAAACGCAAGCCGAAAAATGATGGCAATTCCCAGCAACAGGTCTTTTGTTCCGAGTACGGTCTTTTGTTACACAGACCAGCTCTTTTGTCCTGTTTTGGGCACCCTGGCTCTGTGTATAAACCCATGGTGCTTGAAACAGGGTTCCCCGGCAGCAAGTGGTTTACAAGGGTCCTCAATTCAACTGTGGCACAAGTCTTGAAGTCACAGATCATTTGCTGTTGTACATGTATTGTGTTACATACTTACATGTATCTAGTTTTTAGCAAGTGTCTTTTAGGCCATTTAATCTGGCCTAAACTATATTTGGCATGCAATCCTAGAATTTGATGTTGAGTAAAGTTTTGAATGGAAAGTTCTGCAACATGAAAATTGAATGTGACAAAGTGGGACTATTTAATACTAAAGTTGTATCAAAATTGGGAAAAAATGTAGCCACTCTGACTTAATGAAAATAAATGCAAGCTGGGATTGTAGTTGGCATTATCCATCAATATTTGAGATTAATAAGAAACATACACGTCAAGAGGGATTTTAGAAATATTTTCAAAGTGAAATAAACATGCCAAGTTTAAAGATCTGTCGACTTAGTGTGTGTATTCTTTGCAAATATCCTCTAATTTGGGTGTTTGCAAATTTTGCCATGTACACATGAGCCGCACAATTGATAAAAAATTTTCTTTTTCCCAGTCCCACAAATCAAAGTGAAGTAAAATAACCCTAAAAGTTAAGTTGCTCGAAACTACAATTGAGTGTGATGCCCATTGTACCTCTGCATAACAAGGTCCTTTAGAATTTACAAACTACAAGTATCCTGTGTTATAAGGAATGGAAAACAAAGACTTTGAACCTAAACCTTGCTATTATAAGCTGGATGATTAACAGTGCTAATTTAATTTAAATGATAGATCTTGATTTTGACATAAAATAATGTGTGGACCCAAGAAGATGGAGGTGGCCAACTGGTGATAGCCTGCCTAGGAATGAGTATCAACTATAATTTGGGTCTTAGCTGATCCTGGTCAGCAGTGGGTTTCACTTGCTCCAGCATTTGAGCAAGTGTTCGAAAGCAGTTTGGACTGGACACACCATTTGCAAACGTACGTACGTTTGCCAACATGGCAGGGGGCAGCGTTATCTTGATGCAGCAGAATTTTAGAAGAAGTGCAATAATATTCTTGATTTGGTTCCTGATATAACTGGGAAATTAGTCAGTTTGCCACACTTTTGTTCATTGTCAGGTTGAGTTTCAGGCCCAATTGAAGAGTCACAACCATCACTTTGTCCCTACTTTCATCCATATTGGAAGTTGGCCGACAATTGCTAACACCTCTTTGAGAGTGTTTGCCAAAGTTTGCTAACATTGCTTATGTCCTTGATGAAAAATGCATTCCAGTTTGAAAACGTGTGTATAAAACACACAACGTCTGCGTTGTTTGCGTGAGTGGAACACACCCCAGGCCTGTGTCTACAAGTAAACTTTCAAAGCCTGTACATGTGTTTATGGTGCCTTGTGGGTTACCAGAATAATAGGAATAGGAAGTACCCCTCAAGGAACATTCTTTAGTTCACAAGAACCAACGAAATACCCCACACTACAAATGAAAAGGATTGTGGTCCTACAAAAGGAATAAACAGTAGAGGAAACTAATCAATATGGGCACCTAATTCGTCTTGACTAAAAAACATACATCTTGAAAATAGTTTGTGGTACCCACTGCTTCACCTGACCCGGACCGGCCAGCCGACCCCAACAAACGCGGCGGTCAAGTGGTTAAGACCTCTGCACTAGTAAGCAGGAGATCGTGGGTTCGAGTCCCACCCAAGTAAGCTTGTGACTTTTTCTGCAAGCCCTCGGACAAGCACTGAGCATAGAGTGTTTATGCAAATGACTAGGCACATAACATGTCATGCATGTGTAATTTTAAACATAAATTAGTACAATGTACGTAACAACATACAGCAATAATTATTAAATTATTTGAGTGCTAACTCATCATTCCCATGCAGAGAGCTTTGATAGTTCATGGGTGCATCCTTTTGAATTCATGAGCATAGAACATTAAAAATAATACGGAACAAATTCCGAATCTACTGCTAATGCAACGTACAAGAACAAACAAATAATATAACATTGTTATTATCAGTACCACATATGAAAAGCCTCAGTAAAATTCATCTGCAGTGCTTATGTACATGCATGTGCATTGCTTACAGTTAAAACTATTTCTGTGACATCACTCCTTTGTTCAAAGTGTAGATTATTTTTACCAATCTACAGTTAGCTGTAAATTTGTAACAAATCTGCAGTTGTTGTTGTTTTGTAACAAGGAGATTACCTTTGTGCTGTGCCCCCCCCCTTGTTTCAGTCAAGCAGTTGCCACCGGAGGGATGGGGTATAGTATAAATATAATGTTTGCCTTTCTCCATAGAAAATGACATATAGTTATCTCTTTTTTCAGGATTAATGCATTATAAAGCAAGATTTGACAAGATAAAACAAAGATTTGACTTCTCTCTTCCCCTTTCAATAAGGAATAAATTTGATATGTTTTGGCTACTTTTCTGTGTCTATGTTTTGCCCAGTCTTTCTGAAATTTTGGGTTATAGTTTACTTGAATTGACACAAACTCAAGTACATCCTCTAGTTGTACCAAGATCATACCGGTCCTGAGGTGACAGATCTATTAGGATTACTGCTCCCTAAGTTTGTGGTCCAGCACATTTATCTCAGTTCGTTTCAAATGGCTATCAAACATACTTGTATAAACTTGCTTAAAGACGTAGCCTGTAAATTTTCTTGCATAGTTAATTTTTGTAGCATATAAGCAATTTTAGGTGGATATGTGCACTCTAAAGAAATTCTTAATTGTTATTGTTTAACTCCAAAATTCGCATTGTAATTTGAATCCAAGGTTGCTTGTTATCCAAACGAAATAGCAATATGTAGTAAGTGGGCATTTCAGAATGATTCATACATAAGAACATGTAAGGCTCAGTGAACCTCATTCTGAGTGGTTTGTAAAGTGGTTCGCAAACTGCTAACCATACTTTCATGAAGTTGATATAGCATTCCTCAGTTTCATAGAGTCCTGTGGTGGTTTTTTGGTCCAGAAGGTTTCATTGCAATAGCACACATAATTATGAATCCAAGATGTAAGAGGAAGAGAAAAGAATAAATATATCCTGCACTGAGTGTTGACTGCACAAATACTCTCATGAAGTTGATATAGCATTCCTCAATTTCATAGAGTCTTGAGGTGGTTTTAGTCGGATAGGTTTAGCTGCGATGACACAAGTGTAATAATGACTCCAAGGCGCAAGAGGAAGAGAAGACAGTATGTATCCAGCACTGTCAATGTTGACTGCATGAATACTCTCAGTGTCTCACATAGCCAAACCTCATGCACAAATGAAACAAATGTGTGCACTCGAGTGAAGGGTTAACAAAGAGACTCGGAACAGAGAGACTCATAGACTCGGAACTCCATGTTCCTGCAACAATGGGAAATAGCTGAAGTCAGAGAAGAGAACTCGGAAAGGTAGATTCATGCAAAGAATGGGCTTGGCTTTGCCTTGTCCATGCTTTGCACGAATCTACAGTCCTCATCCATTCTCTATGACAGCACAATATGAAATGCTCATTTACTGATTGTAAAGCTAAGTTTTTGGTGTGCCAACTTTGTTGAAGTGGAGTTTTAGAATACGGAAATAGATATGCAAATAGTGGTACAAAAGCTGTTAGTGCACAAACATGGATACACCCATGGATTCACTTTGCACAGCGAGTGAACACTCAAATAGCTCTATGATTACAACCCAAATCAAACATGAAAAGAAAGATATCTAGATCAACCAAAACTAAGCTCATATTCTGTACTTTGCGCACGGGGGATATTTATGATTAACCTAAATATTAGATAATTCAGGTAAAAAAGATCAAGAATCATTACAATGCATTTTAAGCAAAATACCTACATGTAGAACAACGCAATAAGAAAAGGATCAACTGGGGTAATTTTGACTGTAAATCACATGGGGGCACTTTTGTGCGCTGCCTCGGTGAAGATGCTTTTGCACAATGGACTTTTAAAGTACCATTAGACTATAAAGGGGTTGCACCAATAATGGGCTTTACTGTCAGCTGACTTGCAGTCCTGTTCAAAAACAACTTTAGAACAATTGGCAAGATGCAGACGAGGCCTACATATGCCCAGTAGGGCAGAGGTGGCGTGGATCCCAGAGGCCATACCCATAGTCCCCTACGGGAGCCGTCCCTGATCTGATGGGAGAGAGATGCTGTCAAGAACATGTAGGGGAGTGACTGGAGCTTCTGGGCAGCGGTGACACGAACCGTGAGGTGGAGAAACAAGCTAATGAGGATAATGAGGGTTGTGGAATGAAGAGCTGGCCGGTGCGGTAGAACAAGTGCATCCTTTATAGAAAAGTAAAAACAATTTTCTTTCAAGGTTACTTTTATTTATTTTCAGTCATGAACTGAAACATACAGTTTCAAATACAAGAGATTTCATGTGATGCTATGATCCAAACCTTGCCTAACCTCAACACACACCAAAATGTACATTCCTTTGGTCTCGGCAAACGGCCCTTCTTGACCAATTCAAGGGGCAAGCACATTGTAGGGCTCACCTGGCACAATACTGGAATTCAGAATCAAATTACCTGATCATGTTTTATTCTACACCCCTTTTTTATCCATGTTTGCCCCACTTTCAGTAGGTTTCTATGCCATGTATGTCCTGTACTTGATCTTTGTCTTCGAGACCACAAGCACAATATGATTATGGAATAGAATATTGGGAACTGAATGCTCACATTCTGTACTTATCTTATACCACCTGTGCATTTTCAATGTGGCTATATACATGTATGTCCCTAAAAGACAATTCTCATTGTCAAGATTTGACTTTAAATATATGTAAGCAGACCATAATGGTACTGTGGACTGGCTATAAACTACTGATCCAAAAGCAACAAACGGACCAGTCAGTGATTAGGGCAAAATATCTTGTCTATATGTTCCTGACCTGTAAATAAATGGACTTTGCAACTATGAAGTGATCTGCATCCAAGATAGAAGACAGCACACCACACAAAAGTATCTCTCCCAGTTGGTGACAGTTACTTGGAAGAACTGTTTCAATCACTATGGCCCAAGACAACAGTCCAACAAGTCCATGGGTGAAGTTATCCACAACTGCCCGGTAATAGCGACTAGATGCAACAGCTGGTAATTGGAGGAGGTGGTCCAGTGAAACACAGGCCATTCCCAAGAAGATAATTCCAAGCAGTATCCTCAATGTAAAGATGCTTTTTGCTGTCTGCAGAGTACTTATAAAGGAAGCCATTTCTGAAATGGGAACATGATTTTACAAACATTTAATTTTTCACATCAACATGATCAATCACTCATTTGCAGTGAAACAGAAAAGCTGGAGAATTTAAAGGTTTTCCTCAACAAATGCTGATGCGTGAATATTGTAGGGATTTTTTTTGAGATGGAAACAAAGTTCAGACAGTAATCTCAAACACTTCAATTGGCATTCATGGCAGTGGCTAGCCAGAAGAAAATATGTCAGTACAATTGAACACCGATAAGAAGAGCACTGTTAATGTCACGTTTATCTATAACAAGGGCACGTTTAGGTTCCCAGTCCTTGTTTTTCTGTCTTCCATTACTGATAATACAACACATGTTATAACAAGGTAATTGGTCAAGTACCAAGGGCCTTGTTATAACTGTGTTCCACTGTAGTCTCTGAACATTCTACTGAATAAAAACAAAGTCAACCATGGAAAGGTGAGCATATCGTATCTGGCTCTGTATAGTTATGCCAGCAAACTAATGTCCCTCTGGACCCATCAGACCAGGTTGAGCATTGTGTGGATCATCAGACACATTGTTCTTGAGAACATTCAGTTAATGTATCTTTAAATGTCCAAACTGAAGAGCTGGATATGATATTTACAGGCTTTTTGATAGCTCTTTCCAAAGGCTTGTGTGGCGCATCGAATTTGATAGAACAGTTTTTGGTATTTCTTTGATTGCTTCCAAGTTTGGTGTTCATAGTTATTGAGTGGTATATCAGCCATATTGTTTTTCATCTTGTAAATCGTATTTAGATTTCTTACTTTCCTTCCAGATGTGAAAACAAAATCCTTTGTCTATTGTCATGACTGCTGGCTCACTAAATTTGGCATGGCCTTTAACCTTAACTCCTGGTGTTTGAAAAAGTATTAAAATTGGAGAATTGGGGACTTTGGCTCTAAGTACTGTAGACCTACTTCTGATGAGTACTGTTTCCCATCATTCTACGTCTATCGCTCAATGACTCTTCATGGAAACACAACAGGAACACACACAGGTGCTTTACATTTAGCCCTATGAGTATACATGTACACTAGGGCCAATCTACTGGACTACCTCCATATACCTCCTCTGTATCCTTGGATACGGAGTAGTCTTTGACTAGTATGGGGCTAACATAGTGTAGACATTTGTCTTTGATACAGTCGTTTCCCTTGTTCCGGATCGTGACAACCATTCAGTCTGATTTCAGCTTTAACAATTCCTCCAGTAATAGTGACATGTGGTCAGTAGTCCACCTTGTGTGTCTTTCACTCTTTACGTGAACACCTCTTTAACCATAATCGTATCATCCATGCCTTGTAGAAAATCCAGCTTCATCCTGTAAGGTCATCCAACTTTTTTTAAGGCTCTATGTACCTGTCTTTTATATTCCATTGTTTTCCACTGCCTTGCCAGAACAGGTTTTTTTTTCTCATATATGTACAAGCACTTAAATAATTCATATTTTGTTTCTAATGTTCACGTTTCTGTGAATAGAAAAGTGTATCCCGAAAAATGAAATAAATGAAATGAAATAAACCAGAATGGCAAGTCAAAAAAAACTACTACATGTATGTGCATACACGTGCATTGCTATGGAGTGGAACAGGTTTGTCAAGGCCAGCTGGTGCAGGTGCGACCGAAATACCGATTTTGAAAGAAGTACGTAGAATCACACATGGTGAGTGACCTATCACTCTGTAAATTTTTGTTAATTTTTTGGCTCTCGGGATTTTTGAGAAACCGCATTCAAAAATATCAAAGTGCAAATCGGAAATCTGGTTTAACAAAAATTCTTTCCTTGAAACGTACTGAGAACAAAATCTGTACAAGGAGGAGCTTATATTATTTAACCTTTAAAGCAGAATTTGTCTTGGAAATTGGAATGTAGGGGGTTCAGTACCATTAGTACCCTGTTCCTTTAATAAGGAAACAAAGTCCACTTTCTCAAACTAACTCACATTCTGACCTTAAGGAACCATTCCTCAGTCCTGATAGGCCTAGTTTAGGTAAACTTTTACAATATTTAAGCAAGAACACTTCAAATTCCTACTCCGAGTTTCGCAAAAGACAGCCACTCAGTCGAATTACGCCATTTTCTTTTTCATCTGGTTACCTGACTTAGGCTTTTTTGGTTCATCGAAACAAATCTCCATCCAGGTCAAGGAACCAGACTACATTCACTTATTTGTC